GGGGGGAGGAAGAAACCCAGAGGACCCACCCATCTTGCCTCCCCCCCAAAAACTCCTCTGCATCACAACTCCTTCACCGCCCTACAAACCCAGACCCCTCATTCTCTCCTATTCTTTGCATTCCTATTCTTTGGGAGAAGCCCCCCACTTGCAAGAAGGAGAAAGAGAAGGATTCAGGGGGAAAAGAGGGAGAAAGCCTTCCCAGTTAACACACACAGAGACCCCGATCCTTGACTGGGGGAGCAAGGAAGGGAGGCAACGAGGCACATATCTCCCCCCATACAAAAAGAAATGTTTTAAGCAGGCATAAGCAAAGGAGAGCACAGAGGGTGACTAGACAGATGTCCTAAGAACCGCAAAGGAGGACCAGGCACCGGGAAATGGAGGACATTTCAAGGATGACAGAGGAGGACCAATCACCACAAAATGGAGGACATTTCAAGAACTGCAAAGGAGGACCAATCACCACAAAATGGAGGACATTTCGAGGATAGCAAAGGAGGACCTGGCATCACAAAATGGGGGACATTTTAAGAATTGCAAAGGAGAACCAGGCACAGCAAAATAGAGAACATTTCAAGAACTGCAAAGGAGGGCCAGGCACCGTCCAATGGAGGACAACAAGAACGGCAAAGGGGGACCAGGCACCGCAAAATGGAGGACATTTCCAGGATGGCAAAGGAGAACCAGGCACCGGGAAATGGAGGACATTTCAAGGCTCGCAAAGGAGGGCCTGGCACCACAAAATGGAGGACACTTCCAGGATGGCAAAGGAGAACCAGGCACCGTGAAATGGAGGACATTTCAAAGAACTGCAAAGGAGGAGGAGGGCCAGGCACCACAAGATGGAGGACAGTCAAGGACTGCAAAGGAGGGCCAAGCACCATTAATAATAATAATAATAATAACAGAAAGAGGACATTTCAAAGAATTGCAATGGAGGAGAGCCAGGCACCGCAATACATTAATAAACAGATAACAGTGGAGGAGGACATTTCCAGACAAAGGGAGGACAGGACGTGCCCAAAGAAAAACCTCAAGGCACTCACAGAAATGAATGGCAAAACCCTTGCTTTCGCCTAGAGCCCTGTCTGTGCCTGGCCAGTGGACAGAAGGCAGGAGGACAAGGCGTCCGGGAAAAGGAGGAGGGCAGGATTGA